ACTCCCTTTGATTCGCGAGTGCCCGCCTCCTGGCAGTACCAGACCACTAAACAGCAGAGCGCTCGTGGAGGCTAAATCAATATGGCTTAAAAGTTCAGATTCCGAGAGAGTGGAGTTATTTGTATGTCTCTTTTATATTCTCTTTAATCGATGTCTTTGAGATGATCTAACAATCTAACAGAAGCCTCAAGTAATGAGATGTTTAAAATGCATTCGGCCCTCAGAAAGAGAGAGAGAGAGAGAGAGAGAGAGAGAGAGAGTTTTTAATGGACATACCGAAGGTTGGCTAGTGTCGTGCGGCAATCTTAGGAAGTGTGATCTACGTTAGGCAGGTTGCAGTCGATTCCGAATAAGTACGGGTTGATAGAGTATTTAGAACTTAATTGTGCCGGGATAACTTAGGTTTCGCTCTTCGTCCAAATGGTTTGAGGTAACACCATTCGTAGAAAGGAAGTTAACGACGCTGCTGAGACAGAGTCTCAGAATAGTGTTTAAATCAAGTAAATCTATCTTGATATGATGGGGGAGTGGTTAGGCTTCTAGCAGGTGTCTGCACAGACGCTACTTAACTGGGAGCATGAGCTCGTTCGGGTTAAGGGTTCTAGAATATACCCGCGGTAAGTCATGACTGTCGAAAGAGGAGACTAAATACCACCAGCTCTCATTACAGTCCACTCTATATCAGAACGCGCAGAATTTTTATCCGGTCAAAAACAGTCACTCAAAAACACTTTAGGCTTACAACAACAATTGGGGGCCTCAATGTTTCACTATGAACATACGGTGCGTAGGCGACATGCAGTAATTTCCTTCTTAAAACGCTGTTCTGACAGACTTGTAGCTTCTTCAGTCACGCGTCCGTCCTTCAAATGGGTGCGTCTTAGACATTGCGTAAAGACATTTTCCTGTACTACGAGTATTCTAACTAAAAAAAACAATCGATGTTCGTGATAAGGATCCTTAAAATTTAGAGCTCGGTCTCTCAAATGCGTACCGAAAACAAAGCAATGTTCGGGGATTTACTAATCGATAGTCATTCCGAGTAAGACACGATGTCTTCGGTATACCAGCGAGGCGCTTAAAGTTCCCATGAAGGATCTTCTCAACTTAACTACTTGGACTTGCATATAGAGCTAACTACTCCCTTTTCGAGCCACCTCAAACCGACTCAGCTCAACATTATTTACCATTTTTGCCTCTTCGTTCAACTTTACTTCAACTGAACTGATTCTTGAAATCATTTTTTCATATATTTTATCTTTTTCCAATGAAGCGGCGACAATTACTGTTGGCTGATGGGTACTCTCCAGTCCCAGCTCTGTCTGTGCGTTCTTCTATCCACATATGCATATGACAGCAATTCACTTGCATTCTTCTTCATCAACTCTCACTGTAAGCGCTACAACTTTTCACTCCGCACTCTTCTTCATATTCATTTTCCTATAAAAAACTTTATTGTCTTCTCTTTGGAATAGTTTTTGCCCCCACAACAATTACTCTCTTCCAGTCTGCTCCACTTCAACGAAATTCTGCCACCATCGCTTTGTTTATTGCAACGTTGCAAAAATGTAGAGGAGCGATTTCAGAAAAACGAGGAAGGGGTGGGGAAACAAGGTAACAATTACAGTAAGACCTGCTGTTGACTTGGTTACAACTTTTGAATGCCTGAGTGGCACATTTAAATGCGAAAAACATTTATTGTGAGTCCTTGCGATGACAGACGAGACATTCAAGAGAAATGGAGTGAAAACATATATGTACATATGTATGTATATGACTGAAACGGTAGAATGACGGATATGACAAAATGGTATATAAATTAAAGTAAACTCGTTTAATGACTTAGAAATGGTTGATCCACTTTACCGTTAAATGACAAGCGATTGCAATTCTTACGATATACACGTATGTACTGTATCAACTACAACAAATATTTTTACCGCTTTAGAAAAAAAGTTATTTAAAACTTTGAAATTGTTATGGCACAGCTGGTTAAATGATTATTTCTTATTTAATTTTTCCTTTTTTGTGAGTAATCGTAATAATATTGTATATAAATCCTTTATTTTACAATAAAAAATAAATAGTAAATATCCTTCTCAGAATATTTCTTATCCGCTTTTAACGTTTTTATTACGTAAGCAACGAGTCAAAAGTCTAATTAGTCAGCGTTCGTTTGTGTAAAGGAAGGATGGCAATTACAAGAGAAAAGCGAATTAATGACGAAACTTTTTATACTTTTAATAAGCGATGTAACATTTGTGCTTTATTGTTGCTTCCTACAATTAAATAAATTATTCCTTTCTTCCTTTGGTTATTAGCTTCTTGTTATATACATTGACAAAACTCAGTATAAATTCATTAAATAAAATTAAAAAGATGTTAAATAGATTTAAATAAACAAAATAAAATATAATAAACAAAAAACAAAATAAAATAAAATAAAATAAAATAAAATAAAATAAAATAAAATAAAATAAAATAAAATAAAATAAAATAAAATAAAATAAAATATAATAAAATAAAATAAAATAAAATAAAATAAAATTAAATAAAATAAAATAAAAAAATTAAACTAAATAAAATAAAATAAATTAATTAAAATAAAAGTGAACTAACAAAAAAAAAAACAATAAAATAAATGAAATAAAAATTTTAATTGAGGAAAATTTAAAAAAAACATTAAATAGCATTAAATAAAAATTAACTTTTAAAGAAAAATTAAATAAATAAAATAAATCGAAAAATTTTTGCTACTTTGAAGGCAAGACTGCCTCATAAAAATCTTTATCCCTATCGGCAAAAAATTGAGACAATCGATTTTCACAAGCTTCACTGCAGGCCAATTCTTCACCCGCCAAATCTTTCGCCAACGACAGGAACAGATGGTAGTCAATTGGTGGGAGGTCCCAACTAAAAGGTGGTTGCATAAGAATCTCCCAACAAAACTCTCGGAGCTTCTGGCGAGTCACTATCGATGTGTGTGGCCTGGCATGGTCTTGACGAACCACAATTCGCATCCTGTTGGCAAAACCTAAGCGCTTCTGGGTGTTTGTGACCTTCAGACGGTCCAATTGCTGGCAGAACAGATCATAATTAATGTCATGCTTGTACAAGATCAGCTCATAGTGCATAGTTCCTGGCGAACCTTAGCTAAAACATATAATAAAACTTTGCTGTAATGATCCACTTTTCATCACCAGTGACCAGGGAGCCGCAGATGAAAACTCCGTCCATGAGGTTTTTTCTAGTTAACTCATCTGAAACCCATATATAGAGCTTCTTTGTGTGTCCAGCTTCTATCAAGTGTTTTCAAACCGTTTTCTGTGCTTAGCTGCCGGATAATTGCAACAGGGCACGCATGACGGTCAGACCCGATATTTTTCATTACTTTTTTGGCATTGCAACGTCTAGGATCAATTTCGAAGCTTGAGATATGAGTTCCTCATGTTCTCACAGAACGACATTTGCTTCGTCGAATTATTGACTGTGATTTAAGGAATTTATCTATTTTTAAATCGTATTTTCACTGGTGACGAAAAGTGGATTGCATACAATAAAGTAAGACGCAAGAGATGTAAAAAGGTTGAGCCCGCTGGTACCACTTTGAACGGTGTTATTCACAAAAAAAAGCTTGTGTTTTCTTTGTACAAGTTTGAATGGGATGTTCTACCACATTCACTATATTCTCAAATTTTGCCACCTTCGGATTATTACCGTTCCGCCAGCTGCAAAATCCTGCCTGGATGGACGAACCTTCAGCTCAAATCGGGTTGTCAAAAAGCACTTGGACTTTAAAACACAGATACTTTCGCCATTTCTCTGCTATTTTTCCTTACAATTATTATTTTTCTTTTATTTTCCATTATTTATTTTTTATATATTTATATGTACATATATATGTCTAATTCAGCAAAATATTTTAATTTTGTCTTGAATAAATAACCAAGTAATTTTTCATGTCGCTGACAGTTGAAAAAAAAAACAAAAAAATCAGGACAATCTGACAGTTGAACCTAACCTAAATAAACTAAAATATTTGTAAATGGTTTTTTCCTTCAATTTTCAAAAGATTACCTCTTCATTGCGACAAAAATAGAGGACAAAAATGTCACTTGAAATTTTTTCGAAATAATGAATAGAAAATAAAATAAATGTGCGTTGAAGGAAATAGACATATACAGATTTTAGCAATATGCGTGACATTTGGAGTGAAGGTGAGCCCGAAGCATGCGCCAATTGTTGGCTGCAGTATTTTAAAATTGTAAAAAAAAATAAATTAATTAAAAACTTGAATTTCAAATTAAAAATACTAAGAACAAATTTTTTAAAATTAAAAAAAAATATTTGTATACAAATATTGGATTTTATTTTTCATAATTATAAATAATATTATATTGTATTTTCACACTTTTTATAATTCAAGGTTTTTAATTTAATATTTTGACTGTAATAAAATAATTTAGTTGAAATAAATTCTTGTGCAAACTGCTTATTACACTGGCAGCAGGATTTCCAACTCATAAATATTCAATGACGTATTTGAATGTGTTGAAAAACAGCGCTACGCAAAGCAACGTCAACTAAAGTGACAGCTGTCAATTAACTCGGAGCGTTAGTAATAATCTCAATCAAAATGTGTCAATCTTTATACACGCGCTTGTCATGCCTCATCATACCTCACCAGTTATAATGCTGCCAGATTTATATATATATATTTTTTTTTTTCTAAAAATAAATTTTTATCCCTAAATAATTAATACAACTGACCCGCTTTACGTCAACTGCTTGAGTGGCATGGTGAGAACTTAAGTAAAGCAGGAAAGGTGAAATAAATTGAATAGAATCTGCCGGGCTTAGTATTGGTTATGAATTATTATGACTGAAGTTTTGTGTCACTTTTGCTACATTGACATTCAAACTATTGTATTTAGTTGGTATTTTTCTTGCTAGCAATCACATTTTATAGACAAATCCATGCATATGGCAACTCTACTTACTTTCAACGGTAAATTGTACGGCAACAATTGGTTGTACATAACCTTCGATATTTTTAAATGGGAAATAATAGCCGGGGAAACCCATACGTGGATAGTAATCACGTGATTTAATATTTTCCACATCAGCAGGATTTTCGCCTTCACAAGAGATCCAAACAACATTGGTCTGTAGAGAATACAATAAAAACAATTAATTAAATTTTAGGTGAAAATAAACAAAAACTAGCATAACTACAAGAAATAAAAGTTGTAAATAATTGAAAAAAAAAATATATTGATACTCGAGATTCTCTAAAAAATTTATCCAATACTATTTTAGCTACAGTTTCATTCAATTTAACTCACCTGATTTGGTCGCAAGCTTTGTTTTTCTGTAATGTGGCTTTTCAGTTCAGTAGGCATACGTTCTGGCAGAGCTTTGGAGTCGTTGTATAGATCTGGTTCCCAGTTGTAAATCTATAGAGTTTGTGTGTGCGTGTGTGTGAGAGAGAGAGAAACAGAGAGCGGTAGAAGGAAATATTAATGACAATGCAATAAACGCACGAAAAAATTCACCTCCCTCATACCTACCTTATTCAACTTGAGGAATATGCATGGTCTGGCCTGATGATAGCCGAAATTATTCTCCTTTGTGCATGGTGCAAAAGCGTTAGCATCGAAAGCGCATACTTTACCCGGTGTTGGTGGATTTTCGAATGAACAATTCATTTGGTTACGCTTGGGTAGATTTTCATAGGCTGTAGAAGGTGTGGTGAAAAAAAGGTTAATTAGTTGAAATTTGCAAAATTGTAAATAAAAAAAATTAAGCAATTAATTTTAACTAAAACCATACAAAAAACTAGCCAAATTAAAGAAATAAATACATAAATATGCTGTTAAAAAATAATTGTTTTTTGGTATAAATTTTTCTATTTTTAATTTCTCTAATTGAGTTATATAAATATAAGAATATATTTTTATTGTTATTATTTTTTTAATTGGTACGAAGAATATTTAATTTTTACTTTATTTTATAACAGATATTTTCACAAATTCTTTAATTTTTGACTAATAATTTTTTTTTATAAATTTTTATATATTTTAAAAATTATTTTAAATAAAAAAATACGATTATTTCATTTTATTATTATATGAATATTAGGTGACTTTTCTTTTTAAATTATAATAAAATTATTTATGTATTTATGTTTAATAATAAATGTTTTTAAAAAATTCTTTTATTTTTTAATAGTAAAAATTCTTATATTTTTAATAGTAAATACCCTTACTAATTTCGTTTTATGCTAACTTTAACAATGTTTTTTCTTTTACTTTTATTTTATAAATATATTTTTGTTTTTTTAGTAACAATAATATTTTTTTTTAATTTTAATAATAAAAACTTGTTGTTTTTTATTTGTTTTAATTTGTAGCACTAAATATTTTTGTTTATTTCTTTTATTTTAATAATGCTTATTTTATTATTATTAATTTAGTTTTATAATAATAAATATTTTTATCATCAAGGCGACAACAATTTCAATTTAAAATAAAAGAAAGGTCGCAAAAAACTATTTTATTTTATAATATTTTTATTTTTTAATAAAGAATGCTCTTATTAGTATTTTATTTTTTTTAATTTTTATATATTTATATATATTTTTTTATATATTTATATTTATATTTATATATATTTTTTTTATTATTTTATTAATAATTATAAGTATTTTTATTATTTTTTATTTAATTTTAGTATTATACATTTTATTTTTTTAATTTCAATAAAAAATATTTATGTAATTGCTTTAAATTTTAAAAAAGGTGCTTATTATTTTTTATGTTAACTTTCAATAACAATTTTGCAATAAATATTTTTTTTTTTTTTTAATTATTATTATTTTTGTTTTATTTTTAATAATAACTGCAATTTTAAATTTTTTTAGTATTAGAATTTTTATTATTTTTCATTATTAAATAATAAATATTTTTTTATAATTCTTTAATAATTAGTATTTTTATTCGTTTTTTTTTTGTTAACTATAGTAATGTATTTCTATAGTACTTTGAATATTAATAAGGAATATTTTGATATTAGTTAATGAAAAATATTTTTTTTTTAATAACATAACATAACATTTTTTAATAATAAGTTTTACAAAAAATATTTTTATTATCTTTTTTTAATTATTATTATTTTTGTTTTATTTTTAATAATAAATGCATTTTTTAATTTTGTTTTAGTATTAGTATTTATATTATTTTTTCATTATTAAATAATAAATAGTTTTTTATAATTCTTTAATAATTCGTATTATTTTTGTTAACTTTGTTTTTTGTTAACTGTAGTATTTTTATAGTTAATATTAATAAGGAATATTTTTATATTAGTTTACGAAAAATATATATATATATTTTTTATTGTTAATAACGCATATTTTAACATTTTATTATTTATTTATATTTATTTTACATAATTTAAATTCTTATTGTAATTATTATAATTTCTTTTAGTATTTAGAATTAAACACTTTTGTAGTTAATAAATTAATAATAAATATTTTTATTAATTTTAATATATTTCTTTTATTTCAATATTTTTTTTTTAATTTTTAACAGTAAATATTATTAAAGTTATTTTATATTTTTAATAACACATATTTTAATTAATTTATTTCTGTTTTTAATAGTTACAATTTTTTTTTTTTTTTTGTCATAGTAAATTTTTTTTTTAACCTACAAACATACTACTCTCTAGCGTTTTATATACCTTGTTAGTTACTTGTACTTTTTTATTAACTAACTTACACACTACATACAGCCACACCGAAAAGAGCTAGCAATATATATTCTGTTCACAAAAAACAAAGTTTATATAGCGAGGATATCAATTTCTTCAGTACCAAATGCTAGCACTTACGATTTCTTTCTCATACATATCTACTACACCCACTTACTCTTAGGCACAGCTAAAGTTCATGTCAGCAGTTCAAACATTAAAACAAAATAAATCGGTTTGAAATTATATTATAACGAAAATTAATTAAGATTTAAACACAGGAATTCAAATATTTTAATGCACATAAAAAGAATTTATGCTAACACTAAACTGCCGCTCTTTCTATTGATGCTTCTTGACGAAAAAAATACTTTATAATAACTAGTGCTCTCTCTTTGCGGTATTCGCTTTACTCACTCTCCGAATGGCCACTTACACATATACACCGACGACGCAACTTCACCTTTCTCTTCATTCGTTATGTACCTACACAGAGAGCTTATAGCGTAAAATAAAATATGGCACGTCGACAAAACTTTTAAGAGAGAGAGAGAGATATCTAGAAACCCTTGTAAGAGTTTTGACGAAAGCAACTGCGGTTTGAATATTTCCGAAAATATAATTTCTAAATTTGTTTAACACATTAAACACCAACATAAATTTACACATTTTATTACTTTTTTACTAATTAAAATGATAATTAATTTCCACTCAATACAACAACACCTAAACTATTTCTAAAACACTGACGAAAAGAATTTAGTGTAAACATTGCACATTAAACAAAGAAAAAAAATTGTAAATAAAATTAATTTTTAATAAATATATACATATACTCACAATGAAGGAATGCAGCAGTTTCATCGACCCAGTATTTGAAGTTTTCAGGTCTCGATTTCTCATACCAGATTAAAGTGCTCTCAACATTTGCCTCTGGGGGCATTGGCCGGAAGCCAAGACCTGGAAAATAAAAAAAAAAAAATTATTTATATTCGTACAGAAATAAATTAATCAATACAATTTCTCTAAATTTTTTTTTTATCGTATAATTGTAAAAATCGCATATTCTTCATCGCGAGCTTTTTTGATCGTTTGTACATGCACTAATTTGTTCTAAGTTTGTGGATAGTTCGATGCATGCTTGCCAACAACTAGTACTTTTTCTGGACAGTTAAGTGTACTACTCAGCTGCTGTACTAGTAAATGAAAGCACATGGGTGGCGCCATGAAGACTACATTATATTGTAAAAATATTTTTTATTAGCCATATTAATATGTTCATAATTTAAATGAATGTCAAATAAAAAAATAAAAATAATTATAATGAAATAAAAAGCAAGAAAAAAATATATTTAAATATGCCAATTATACGAAAATATTTTCCATTTAAATGCACTGGTAGCTATGGGGTGTAAATATTAAAAAATTTCAAAAAAATAGGGAAAAAAATACAAATAAATGCATAAACTAAGGAGTAAACAAACTAAACAATTTTAGTAAATTAATAGAATAAAAAATAAATGGAATTAAACACTTTAAAAAATCATAAATGTTTCGCTTTAGTTTTTGCTAATCCACACATTTTTGCTCACTTAAATATACGTATTTAATTCAACTATTTACAAAGCAATTTCCATTTAATATGCATTTAATTATAGGAGAATTATCTCAAAAGCAGCAATTAAGCTAACAATGAATATTTTGAAGTCCGGTTGATTATTGTTTATTTAAAGCAGCTATTTATATGAGAAAAAATGAGAATTTATATTTCAAAACAACAACAATTAAAATAAAATGACATAAAAAAATATTAAACAGAATAAAATCAAATATTTTAAAAAAGAAATTGAAAAAAGGCTAAATAAATTAAATAGAATTTACTGAACAACAAACCAAAATTAAATAAAATTTATTGCAAAAAAAAAACAAATAAAATAAAAATTACCAAAAAAAAAATTTATAAGTGAAATACATAAATTAAAATTAGAAAATTTAAAAAAATATATATTGTGATTAAAAAAAATAATATTAAAAAGGTATAAACTAATTACCAAATTAAACGCAAGTCAAAAGAAAAAAATTAAACGAAAAACAATAAATAAAATAAAACAGGGTGAAATTAAGCGATATTGAAATAAAATAGAAAAATCGAATGAAAAATAACATTAAATTAAGAAAAACAAAATAAAATTAAGAAAAATAAAATAAAATAAAATAAAATAAAATAAAATAAAATAAAATAAAATAAAATAAAATAAAATAAAATAAAATAAAATAAAATAAAATAAATTGAAATAAAATGAAATAAAATCAAATAAAATAAAATAATATAAAATTAAATAAAATAAAAAAAATTATTTAAAACAAAGTAAAATAAAAAAATTTATGTGCGTATGTACGCGGCTAATCCAGTAAATAAGCATACTTAGGCTCTTACGGCTCTTATTTTCGCTATATTGGCAACGCGGTAGTGTAGTCAGACTTCTCGTCTATGCAACGGGACCAATACATTGAGTCTTTCGTTAAATGCAAAATAAGCGGCATCTCGTTTGGAGGGTGACACCTCCGTTTAAATTTTATAACGGTACTGTGAGACGCTTAAAAAATTTGTGCATGGCTGCTCAGTATAATACGAGAGCAATGATGACAAAAGTAGTCTGCCTGCTGCACGACAATCCCAGGCCATACACGACCAACTGTTCGCCTCGTTTCAATCGTACATACAAACTCATTTATATTGTATTATTATATTCAGGATAATTTCCCTTAAAAATAATTAACATTCTAAGACTGTTTTCATAGAAAAGTCAAAGAGTTATTGATTTTGCGCAAGATTCTGATTGTTTGTAGTGTGTAAAGAGGAGTTGAAAAGTCCTTTTCTCGTGGATATTAAGGAAATTAAGACACTTCCATGAACATACATACAAGTGTGCCACAAGTTGATTAATAACAAGATAACAGTTGGAAGTCACGTGGGCAGTTCGGAAATGAAAGAAAAAATAAAATAAAACTAAAAAAAAGAAAACTATTTAAATTATTCGGATAAATATTAAATAAAATTTCGTATGCTGAATTTTATATAAGAATATTAAAATATTGAATTCTTATGAAATTAGCTTCATTTTCCAGCTAAAATTTTCCAGCAGAAAATCACTTCGAAATTCGCAAAATTCAGTTTTTCAACAGGATTCTAACTCCTCCTAGCAAGTTTAGCGCTTGAAAAGAAAAAAAATTATATTTTCACTAAAAGGACAATATTCCAGTGCACTTTGTATCTTCAAAAATAATTTAGTTAAAAAAAAAATTGATTTTTAAATTGGATTTTAGATCCTAAAACATTTTTGTTGTTTTTCTTTTATTTTTTCATTATTTTTACCTTTAAAAAATGCCAAAAAAAAACCTGCCAACTCACCTGGATTTGTACCAATCAATCCATCGCCCATTGTCCACTTAGGCTTATCCACCTGAAGTGTTTGATAAAACACAGCCAACATGGCAGCGAAGAATCCAGTTAACGCCGCATAAAATATAATGTAGAAAAATAAAATTTTTGCTGCAATAAAAGAAGGAAAAAATGAAGAAGAAGATTAGTGAAAAAATTTTTTATGGTAAATTTTAAAGGTATATATTTCTCTTAATTTCTTATAATAATAAAATAGTTAATTTTTTCTAAAATAGTTTTTTTGCAAAAATTTCACAATAAAAAATATAATATTATAAAAATATATAATTTGTGATATTTATATACATACTTATATATACACTTAAGTATAATTAGTTTCCTTTATCACGTATAATATTTCTATAAGCTTCTACTTATTTTAATTACACTCAGTTTATAATTTTCTCGATCTCCACCTTAATATCCTTGTTGTGCGCAATAATAAGCAAAATATTAATATGAAATATTATTAAAATTTTAATTAAGTCATAATAGGCGTCAAATGACGGACTTACAGACTCACAGAAAATTAATGGACACTTTCATAAGCAGCCTTGTGACGTGAAATAATGTAAGTGTGTATGTACATATGCGCACACATAGCTCAAATTTAGTGTTGTCTGCTTTATTTTTATGAATTTAATATGCAGAGCAATATGATATGTAATTAAAAATTCTGTACGTTTATGAGCATTAGCATTTTAGCATTTTACTCTAACAAACACGTGTAAATATTTAAATTTATGTATAAAATATAAGTAGAAAATAATATTTTTTTATTAAAAAAAAAAATAATTATTATTAAAAAATAAAATAAAATAAAATAAAATAAAATAAAATAAAATAAAATAAAATAAAATAAAATAAAATAAAATAAAATAAAATAAAATAAAACAAAATAAAAAAAAATTAAATTAATAAAAAAACATTTCGTTACGATTTCTTTTGGGAGCTAAAAATATACGCCAAATATGATTTTTAATAATATTTTTTCAGTTTTCAAAAATATATTTTTATTAATTTTATTGTTTGAAAGCTACAACAAGCCACTCAATATAATCTTAATTCAAAGTAACAAAAAAGTTAGATCCGAATAGGACGAGAGTTTTTAAGCTTGAAAAACTTGGCGAACTTTCAAATATTCTGCTCTCTGATGAAAACAATTTCAATGGTGAGCAATTCAAAGGCTCTTCAAAAATGAAAACGCCTACTTAACTGAAAGCACCCCGATAATTTGAAGCTGGCAATTTTTAACAGAAGCATCTTTCCATTCCCAAGTTATGCTATGTGCCCATGGACTCTCTTAATGTTCTCCAATCGTTCCCTTGTCGTTCTTTCAGCTAAGTAACTCCACTTAAATGCTAGCAGAATTGCTCGAAATATCATCGTGGTTCAAGAAGCGAAATTTTCCGATTGGTTCGCAGCAGCGGGAGGTGGGTTCTAGATGTCGGGGTTACGTTACAAGATGGACATGGAAAGAAGTAGTCAGTGTCGTGCGGGTACTCCATGCATGCATATTCTAAGTTAAGTGTGTCCAAGTCAAGTCTGAACCTATAAGAGACCAAAAATAGTGTCAGTATTACATGGATCTCGCACAACAGCTCGAGCTTTTCGCCAACTATGAGTAGTGGTTGGATTCCGTTAATGCCATTCAAAGCGAAAAAGTTAGTGAGGGTCTCAACAGTTGCTCTGTGTATTAAGGGTCGGTCGTTAGCTCGTCTTGACGTTTCTGTGATATGTTGCTGCTCAGAGCCACCCTTAAACTCAAGTACTTTTTACTTTCCTGACCAGACATAGTACGTGGTTCAACTTCTGTTAGCGAGACAGTCGAAGAAGTGTTTCCCAAGGAACTTGTGTCGCGCGAATGTCAAGGCTGGATAGTGGCAAAGGTAGTGCTCGATAGTCTCTTCCTCTTCTTCGTCCTTACAGCTGCGGCAGAAATTGTTAGAGTAAAAGCTCATCCTAAACCCGTAAAGCTCCATTAAACAGTGTCCAGTTATTATACCAGTCGTTATGTTAATGGAGAACCGGTCCAGAAGGATAAGATGTTTAGATTTTTTCGCGTCAAATTTCGGCCATAGCTGTCTGGTCACGTTACACGAGATCTCGTTCAACCATCGTGAGTCAGCTTCAATGGTGAAAGCCAGTTTAAGCATGTACTTAGAGGTAAACCAGCATCATGTGAGTGCTTTAACGTAAATAGAATTGTTCCTTCCCTTGCTGGTTCGTCTGCCATGCAATTTTCTGGCATGTCCCTGTGCCCAGTGAGAACGTGAGACGTCTGGAGATTTTCTGTTATCTCATCCTCATCTGCCTTACACGCTAATCTCCGGTGTCCAAACTAGTTCGGCGTGGCTTATGATCGATCGGCTGTTTGCATTTGCCTTTAACCCAGTAGCCGAGCTCGTGTTTTCTAAAGAGAGCCCTCGTAGCTAGCAGTAGCTAAGGCTAAAGTAAGAGTACCTGGACTCTAATAAGTTCCATTAAATACATAAGAACAAGTACATCGAAGGGGGAGACCAAGAAGGAATCTTTACCTGGTCGTTTTTACAATGGGATTCCATCGAAAAGCAAGGCCTCAGTCTTAAAAAGAATTATTTTCTAGGAAAAATATTATTTTGGAATTTTGGCATAATTTATTCACATGAACTTTGCTTCCGACAAGTCCATATACACGTATCTTCAATCTGCTTCGAAATCAACAAAATGCAACACAACTCATGGCGTTACATGAGCCTCAGGTCTGCGCTTTCCCAGCCACCGGCATACTCTCTGGCAATACCGAACCCGCCTGACACACTCATCTCGCGCACAGGATTAAATTTAAATCAAATGCATAGGCAAATCTCAATATTCAACCAGCTGATGCTAATCAGATACACTTCAGCCAGCTCCAGTTGTGTCGCATCGAGCTTACGCACACTTCACCTTTCGCACCAACGAGGCAACTTCCTTCAAAGTTCCAAAATTGATATTCGAATTTTATTTGCCCGCCATTTTAGCAGCGAACTCAAAGCCACTCATAGCCGTGATCGCAGTCGCAGTTTGCGAAAACGTCAACCAAAGCAAATACTCGTATGTATTGCTGTGTTGTTGAAAACGGCGGTGGCAGCTGTTTGGCTGTGAAATAATGCCTCTCCAGGGCTAAATAATATTCTTTTTTTTTTTTTGTAAATTCGCATAATCATTATTTTTGTTTGTATGTTTGTACGTCGTCTCTAGTGGATTTGCATTTTAATTGACACGACAAATGTGGGAAACAACATATCGTTTTTGTAGTCTTTGTTGGCGATTCTAGCGCATGGCGCGGATTGAGGTTACAAAAAAAAAAAAATGGTGGAAACTTTGAAATGGGTATTTTTCGTTTAATTTTGTACTAATGAGGAGTGTATCGAGACATTTTGACCAAAAAAATATATATACATTTTTTTTAGGTTTGAGTTACTAAAACCAGAGGGTTGAAAACAGAAAGCTCTCTAAAGAAGCCCAAGGAATGGATTCCGGGTAGCGTTACAAAGATCGTCTCAAAACTTTCAAGTAAGGCCTCGGTAAAGCATAAAGAGAATCATGAAAAACTTTCTTAACCGACCATAAAAATAACTCGGAGCATAAAACGGACTGAGAGAAGCTTCCAACAAGAACTCTGTCGTCTCGAAGATAATAAAAAGAAAACCCAAAAGCCGCAATGGCGAGCTTACTGCATCTTGCAGAGAAATACTAAATGTACTAGGCATCACCCATTTCCTGGGGTGTTCTGAACAGTGTCTCGTATCTCCACACAGCTCACCCGAAGAAATTCCACATTTCCTTTTCTACGAAATATCATTTTCCGAACAGCAATCGGTAAAGATTTTGCAGAAAAATTCTTTTTAGTAAATGAATTTCCACTGTACTATATATATATACAGAAGATACAATAAAAATGTCATTAGTAACTGTATTGGAGTACGGCAAGTTGCTATGCTGCCTACAATAACAAACACTAAAGTGGTAAGCAATTAATTTTCCACCAGACTAGTTTTAAAATTTATTGATTGAGAATGGTGAGTACGGTAACTATTATCTGCCTTCCTGTTCTGCTGCCATCTACAACTACCGCTGTGACCTGGGTATAGCAGAAACTTTTAATCCTATTATATTTCAACTTAATGGACATTTCTTGTTCTTTCGAGTGATTTTTCTAATCTCTTGCGGTTGTTTAGGATATTTTTAGATTAGTAGTGACCACTCTTTGAAGTGATACCGACGTATATGTATTGGTGTGTGTGGGAAAAATAGCAAGAAATGAAAGGGAAGTTTAAGTGTTGCGTAAAACTTTGCTATTTTCTACTTTTGGTTTAGATATATGTATAAACAAAGCGTTTGAAAAGTTTAAAAGAGCATATTTATTATTTATTTTTTGTTTTAAATACAATTTCGGGAATTTAAACAAAACAGCATTTACGTTTTATACGCTATTGAAACAATATGTTAAGCGTAAAATAAAATAAAATAAAATAAAATAAAATAAAATAAAATAAAATAAAATAAAATAAAATATAATAGAATTAAATTAAATTAAATTAAATTAAATGAAATAAAATAAAGTAAAATAAAATGGAATGAAATAGATTAGGGTAAAATAAAATTAAAAGAACATATTAAATTAAATGAAATAAAAAATTTAAAAAAATATGAAAAGATAAAATTAAATTAAACTGAAATAAATTAATAAAAAACAGTTCAAAATAAAAATGACTATAGTAGTTTGTATTAAAAAAAAATAAAATAAAATAAAATAAAATAAAATACAATGAAGCGAAATAAACTTACTAAAATAAAAAATAGAATAAAGTAAGGAAATAAAATTAAACTCAATTTAGTTAAAAAAAATTTAGAAAAAAAATATGGTTAAAAATAATAATTTATAAGTATAGTAAAATGAAAGAAATATATGAAATGAAATAATATGAAATAAGTAAACATAGTGTTAAGTACTAAAATAAATACCAGTTTATTTAAAAACATAATAAAATAAAATAAATTGAATAAAAATACAATAAAATTTAATGAAAGCCAATATAATTAAATATATTAATAATAATAAAATAAATTAAATATATTAATAATAA